TACTACTACGACTACTACTGCCACTACTACTACCGACACCGCCACAGTACTACGGTGGCCAGCATTAGTACTACCACTACCCCCACGATTTCCATTGTCATTGTCACCGCATGTCTGTCGTGGTTCTGAAATGATTATGCACATGTTCTTCAATGCTCCATTATTGTTGCTTCTTTTTGTCTCGCGATTACTGTTGTGAGTACTGTTGTACTACTCATAATGCTTCTTCTTTGTCTTGGGGTTATGTTTTGTGACGGCAGTTGTCACACTCTTGCCGTGATTGCTATTCCTTTATCGCCGTTACTGCTGTTGTTAGCTATGTGATTGCAACTGCGATCATCACGACGTTTACCATTACGGCTGTTGTTATTCTTCAGGAGTCTTGCTCTTGCTTTTGCTGCGGCTGATGTTGCTAGGCTATGTGAGTCATTCTTACTATAAGAACTCATACTATAGTCTCTGTTTCTTGTCATTCTTGTTAGGAGGTGGGTTTAGAGCTAATGAATGGCTGGGGAGGTAGAGGTCAGGGCGCAAAGTCCGAGGCAACAACACTTGATGCCGAAGCTCATTGGCTCTCTTGTGCACTTTTGAGTGTCGAGGCCCAGTTCCATCATGGCTACCTCCTCCGCACCCAGGCGTATTCTCATCGTCTACACTGGCACAAGAGGTGACTGGCAGCCGTACGTTGTTGCCGGCACCATCTTGCGTGAAGCTGGTTACGAGGTGCAGCTCTGTGGCCCAGGTGATGCTGCAGGGATGGCCGAGGATCATGACCTTCCTTTCAAGCGCATTCGTGTGAGCACCTTACGGACCTGGCCCGAAAAATTGACGGAACAAATCACCCACGAGAAAATTCCACAAGTGCCGCCGAGGAATGACCGAGATGCGATGATTGCGGAGAAGAAGGCTTCCTACGAGCTGTTCGTAAGTTTCAAGCCGGAGCTCGTTCTCACGGCCGCTTTGACCTTGCTCGAGGTGAGTATCTTCAGCGAGATCTTCGACGATATCCCTTTCGTGAACTTAGGTGGGTAGTTGTCAAAATTATGGTTCCTTTTGGGGTACCCTAAATAATATGTGCCGTACTATAATAAGGACCCAGAAAGGGACCATAATTTTGACAACCACCCAGGTCTTCAGACACCGCCAGGCCACAGCTCAAACCTCGCAGGCTTCCGCTTTCCCCGACTCTTGAAACCTCTGCATTGGCAGCTCAACAAGTTCCTCGGTTCTGGAGTACCATACTTGAATGCTTCTTCTTTTTGGGACCTCTTCCTTACAGGAATCAACATGAAAAAAAGCTTATACGCCTTTCTGCGTGGCCTTTTTCGAAGTCCAGGTTCATTCTGGCAGCGACCCTGAAGATGCTGCGGAAGGAGCTAGACTCGATCCCGGAGGCCCTACCTGAAGAGATGCGCAAGTTATGTCCCAAGAAGATCACAAAGGAAACTTTCGTGGAGCATTGGTCAGACAGCGCGGTGTTTCCAAACCTGGTCGCGCAGAGTACATCCATCAACGGCGACCTCGGAAAGGACTACAAAACTGCCATTTCGCTTGGTCCGCTCATGCTGCCGCCAAGCAGCCAGTCAGGGCAGGAGTTTGGCGGCGACCAAATGAAGCAGATGCAGGGCTCTTGTTAAGGAATGCTGTTTTTAATCTACCATTATACACACTATATAGTGGATATAATATGTATATATAAGGCATATATATATATATATATATATATATGTATATATATATATATGTATATATATATATATATGATCTATATATATATATATATATATAATCTATATATATATATATATATATATGTATGACATGGTTTCCGTATTGCGGCAGCTTAAATTAGAAAGCTGTGAGCCCAGGATGGAAGACTTTCTGGCCCAGGGAGACGCTCCCGTCTACATCGGCTTTGGGTCCATGAAGGTCTTCGTAGCTGAATGAGTGCACTTTACACCTTTTGGGGATAATATGATCCCTTAAAGAACTGAAAGTGTACACCTTTTTGGGCTTATGAACTCAGCAACTAAGAGGCCTTCACGCCCAAGTACATGACTTTGCTCTGCGCCCGTGCCTTGCAGCTTACCGGCCTCAGGGGCGTGATCTGTGCTGGGTGGACAGGTGTGGACCTGCAGCATCTGGAAGGTGGCTTCGTCATAGTTGGGTAACCTTATACATCTTTTTGGGTACTTACACCCAATAGGGAGTATATTTAGACGTTTTGATACTATCCCCAAGCTTCAACTAGGTGAAGCGGACGAGTTGGAGTTGGCTGAGTACGTCAAAAACAACGTGCTCTTCATGCCCAAGTCCCCTCACGGTCTCCTTTTTCCACGGTGCCAGGCCATCGTTCACCATGGTGGCGCAGGAACCATGAATGCCTCCGTCCGCTCGGGGAAGCCGACCATCATCATACCGGTTCTCCTGGACCAGTTTGGCCATGCAAGACTGATCAACGAGATGGGCATCGGAAAAGGCCTGAAGCATCTGAGGCATCAGACACCCGCCACAATCGCTGCGGTAATCAAGGAGTGCATTGACTCGCAGTCGATCCGGACGAAGGCAGAGGAAGTTGGCTCAACCATGCGACGTGAAGAAGCACAGGCCCCAGCAAGGCTGACACAGTTCGTTCAGGAGTACTTTCGCGACTACGTGGATGGCGGCCTTTTCAAAAGCATCATGAGAGACACGCGAGAGCGACGAGCTCAGCAGTGCTGCAAGTGCTGATAGGCCCAACAGAATTCACAGATTTTGCTGAAGCAAGGACGACCTAGATTCCCGACAAGCGCAACAGAGAACTTGGACCTACTAAGCTTGAACCACCCGGACAGTATGGATTGGAGCACAGAGGCATCGTCCACGAACTGATGCAGCAAGAAGTTGTAAAATGTTGCTGTTTTGCAGAAACAGTAGCAGCTGCAGTAGTGGTGAAGGTTGTGGTCGTCGTTGTGGTATCGGCAGTGATCGTGCTCGTAGTCGAGGCCGTCGTCGTCATCATCGATATCGTTTTAGCGAAAGTCTAGTCCACCTGTAGCGGCCGCAGTGGCAGTGACAGTAGCAGTTGCAGCAGTTTCGCAGTCGGAGCCGGAGTCGCATCCGGATTGGCAGTAGCAGTAGCAAGTCGGAGTTGGACATCACCAGTGGTGCAAGTCGCCGTGCTTGCTGTGTCGTAATCATCGTCGTCGTCGGCGTCGGCGGCGTCGTCGTAGTAACAGCGAGCAGTAGTTGTAGCAGAAGTTCAGCAGAAGTAATAGTACACAGAACTCGACATAGGTAGAATTGGTAAGAGTCGTGGTGGTCGTGTGCCTGGGTCCTTCAATCGCATAGTGTCACACGGGCGAAGCAAACAGAGGCATCCACGCTGATTGCGCTCATGCATCAAACCACGTAGTGTTTCAGAGGGTCGAGAAGCTAGATCGTCCCTTCAGTCCGCACTAAATCAGTTGTCCTTGCTCACCCTGCCCACTCTCCATTGCATGTTTCTGTTCCGTTGCACCATCCACGGACGCTCTTCGATCTGTCTTTTTGAGCCGACGGAGAACTCATTGTTGCCTAGTCATTCCATTTTGATGTGTTCCCGGCACTTCCGAACCTTGTGCTAGCTGCTTTCCAGTGGTTCAGATTCCGACATCTCTGCGGCTCCGACATGCATGAAATAGTCATCGGCTTGTCTGCAGGACAACAGCTGTGATTTACACGCTTGTGTGCAGGATCGTGTTTGTAGTTTGTGGTTGTTCTGTTCTGTTGTGATTTCTCCTATTGCTCTTGTCGACGTTGCGATGCTCCGGCTGATGGAAGCCGTTCCTAGTAAATCCGTGCATGATTCATGGAGTCATTTGCGAGTCAGAGCAAAATGGGACTGCATAGCGTTTGCCGAGAGCTCGGGAACCCAAACCCTCAGTCTCATACTGTCCCGATCCGTGGGTCCTCATGCACCCAAAGTCCTTAAACACCTAAACCATCTCAAAAGCTCGGAGACTTATTGCCATGCCTGCATTTGCGAGTGTGTGAGTCGAAGTCGAAGCCATCTCAATAATCTAGGAGGCTAGAATCCAAAATGCCTACTAGCCATCTCTAAATCATCCTAAATCCTGAACCAAGAAACCATCCTAAACCCTCTTATGAGTACCCTAAAAACTAACTAAACCCTAAAATCTGGGAATCAGTCATCTACACGCCTAGACCCTTTCCAAGATTCTAGGGCATCCGCTGAAAGGGCTCGATCTCTTAAGCTGCCAAGCCCTTAGGCTTTAGGGTTTAGTTTTTAGGATTTAGCGTTGGGCTTTTAGGGTTTAGGGTTTCAGGTTTAGGGCTCCCACCCCCGAGAGCCCGGTACCTCTCGCTTGAGATTACGCCGTGAACAACAGGTCACACTCTTGATTTACAAGCTTTATAGAGCCCCTTGTCAGCACCCTTGATGAAAGCCTCATAAGACCCTTAGTTGGGCCCTTCTAAACTTGTCTGCATTATATATACATACATATATATGTACATATTTACAGATCAGATGCAGCAATATATTAAAGAAAGAATTACATATATATATATATATATATATATATATATAAATAGATATATAAACAAATAAATAAATAAATAACTAAATATATATATATATATATATATATATATATTTATGTGTGTATGTATAATTATGTGTGTATCTATGTACACCAGTCTACTCTTGGGTTTATAGGTCTCGGGAGCCCGACCTCATGACCCAAGGAGTGGGGAGGCGAGGCCCCAACACGGGCTTCGCTGGTGGGGAGCTCGGTAGTCTGCCTCGCAGTAAACTTGATGTTCAGGGTTTTAGGTTTTAGTGTGTAGAGCCACGAGTGCTGCTGGAGGGTTTAGGCGCTGTCTTGTGGAGTTTCCCGGCTGCTTGCAGGAGTCCTGGATGCAAAGTGTGTAGAGCCAGGGGCTTTAGGATTGTGCACTGCAGCCCTCCTCAAAAAACAAAGAAAGGAGTGCAAGGAGTTTAGGGTATATAGACGTTGGGGTGCAGAGAGTTGTAGTGCTGTAATCAGCACATTACGATCTTAGCGGGTGCAGCTCTACGCAGCAATCAAGGTCTTTAGTGTTGCAGGCTGGTCAGTGCATCTTAGAGGGTATCAGAGTCAGACAGAGTCTAAGATCAAAGCCTCCCTATGTAGGAAGCCTCTCTCCGGGCAAGCGTGCTTGCCGTTGGGGCGATGTCGGCGTGCATGATGGCAGCAGGCGCGGTCGAAAGGTTTGCCCAGAGATCTCAATACCCTTCACTGAAGGAATGTACGTCTTAGATAGCGCAGGCTTAGTCAATATGCGTAAAAGCATATATTCGTTACTTGAGGGGTAGGTTGCGCTCTGTTGGCAAAGACTGATTCAAGGCTGCACTTCGCAGCCAACCTTTCTAGCGCCTTCCCATAGCCAAAGACTTTCCCCAACGGTTGGAGGCTGATTCTGGGCTTATCCTCGTCTGTGAATCGGCTGCAACCACCGGCTTAGGATCTGTATGATGTAGGGGTTAGAGTACTAAATCTCTTCAACTCTTACTACAGCTGTCTCAGCAAGCACGGTGCAGGAATCCGGTTGCTTCGACGCTGCCCAGCGATGACCAGCGCAGCAAAAACGAGGGGAGGGGAGGGACGGAAGTCGGCTACCTATAGTCTCCATTGTAGTTCCTTTTTGGGGATACCTTATAAATTCCTTAGTATATATTTGGTTAAACCAAAAAAAGGAACTACAATGGAGACTATAGGTGGTGTCCGAAACCCGGAATCCTAGCCAGGTGGGAGGCAAAAGCCAGTCTCTACCATAATTAACGGTGAGACTGGGACTCGGTGAGGTTGCGGAAGATGGGGATAGGACCCGTTTGCACATCCCTCATCCAAGACATGCTAAGGCCAAGAGTTCAACAATTATGATGCCAAGTCGTGTTCAATTTCAGTTCGGTTGCGGGCCGTGAAAGCTTCGGTACTAGCAGATCGGACATGTGACCCTGCTGGCCGGGTGCAGACGGCTTCCGTGGCTTCCTTTCAGCTCGAGTCTTCACTTCACAGCCATTCCTGTGGACCCTGGACTGTGAACAGGTGATGCGATGTGGCCTTCACGCTTCTAAAGTTCTGTCGCCAGGCCAACATGTCATGAGCTTGCCAAGCCCCGCAACTGATGGAAGCCGCAGGAGACGAAGAATCTGACCAGCTGAAGATGAGTGAAAAGCGGTGACGCTGCATCATGCCAAAAGGGAGGCACAAATCTTGTCAAGGTTGAAGTCGCTGGTAAACTGTCTGGTGCTTAGTAGGGAATGGGGGAATGGATCCCTATGATAGTCCCTTAAGGTCCCTTATAGTAGTCCCCACAACCCATTCCCGCATTCCCTACTAAGCACCAGACAGTAAAGCCAGAGTTGGCTTTTTTTTGGTGTTTGCTTTGCGTGGTTGAAACGGTGCTCTGGCCTCGAGGAGGTTCCCAAAGTTGGAGCTTCCAGGAAGGACGGATCGGCCCGGGGAAGCTTCACGCGACCAGTTTGGGGTCCTGTACGGGGCCCTCACATTTTCATGCATCGGTGTGTACAGATGTATTTGGTGGGTAAGTAAGTACTGTGGGGTGAAGTTGCAAAAATCCGGCTGGTCCATGCGGCTGCCTGCCCCGTGGCTTGCCACACTGCTGGCTGCGCTCCTGAACTCCAGCAAAGCGTCTCGTCTCTCCGTTTCTTAGACTTGAGGCTGAAAGCAGAGACGGAGGGCTCCTTTTTCTGTCAACACACGCAGATGTATTCTGGATCCCTTTATATCATGGCTGCTATGAAGTTCCTGAAGAGCTCAGTTGGGGCCTCGAGCCGAGGCCCTCCGGAATGATGGCGATGTCCGATCGCTAGCGCTCGGGGCGGAGGCCTGGCGTCTCCCCTTTTCGGACTCAGAGTGTGTTGGGTTT